GTTTTAGGGCGTTGAGGGGTTAGGGCTTAGGGTTTTGGGGTTTAGGGCGTAGGGGCTTTTAGGGCTTTTGGGGCTTTAGGGTTTTCGGGTTTAGGGTTTAGGGTTAGGGGTTTGGGGGAGTTTGGGGCTCAGGGTTGAGGCTCCTCTCGCAATCGGGCGGCTGGTCATCACCAAATACTGCAGCACGCGAGCCCTGCAAGTGAAAGGCCACAGTTTCAGGAGGGGAGTTGGGCGTTGGGGGCTTAAGGTTTAGGGTTTAGGGTTTAGGGTTTGGGGTTTGGAGTTTAGGGTTTAGGGCGTGGGGTTTAGGGTTTAGGGTTTGGGGTTTAGGGTTTGGGGTTTAGGGTGTAGGGTTTAAGGTTTAAACCCCGAAGTTTTCTGGGTCCACGGCTTCTGCACAGATGTGGCTGGCTTGGGATTTGGCTTCAGGGCTTTGGGTTCGGAATTTAGGGTTTAATTCAGGGCAGGAACCCACAACCTGCACCAACCCCAAACCTCAAAACCTTCTGGAGAAGGGAGGTCTGGTTAAATCCTGTACGTCTGGAGAAGGGAGGTCTGGTTGAATCCTGTACGCCCTCTTGCCCTTGATACTCAGCCCCGAAACCAAAACTGCACTCTGCAGTGTAGAGTCGAGGGTCTACTTCAGGGTTTCAGGGCTTCGGGCTTAGGGCTTAAGGTTTCGGGCTTAGGGTTTAGGGTTTAGGGTTTAGGTTTAGGGTTTAGGGCCGATTTCGGCGGCGTGTTGGATGGGAAAAGGAGGTGAAAACCTCCCTCTTTCCCACCCCCCCCTACCCCCCACCCCCCGTCCAGGTCTGCCTCCTGCAAGCGAGCTGCAGATGATTGACCCGATCATCTCAAACATCGAAAATCACTCTGTGTGCCTCGGCTTCGTCACGGGGCAGGAATTTCCCCGATCCGTGGTACACGATCCGGCCCTTCCTCCGCTGCCAATTGATGGAAGTCCGGCCGCCCGTCTCCTTCGTGAGGCATCAAAACACCAACTGTAAATTTGAGACAAGTTGCTCACACAAGAAGCAACAACGAAGAACAAGAGCAACAAACAAAGCACCCATACCCCTTTGTTTCGATTCGTCCTTCACGGATGACACGCCGAAGCACTTGAGGAGGACTTTGTTGGCCTGGTCTTCCTTCGCCTTGCGCTTGGCTGCATCATTGCCATGGCCCCCCTCGCTGTAATGATCAGCGGCCACAGCAATGTATTCACACCTGTCACACGATGCCAGAACCACATAGCATCTAGGTGTGAGTTAATCCCCGAGTACCCGTGCATACACATAGAAGTTTGACGCAAAGCCATCACTGCCGAGAAGCCGGATGTTGAACCCGGCCCCGGCAAACGCCAGGCTTGTCAGAATCCAGTCCTTCGCACAAAGAGCATCCCGTCTCATTGCAGAAAAGATAACATATTGCAGAGGAGGCTCTGACTTGCACGCAAGGACCTCGTCGTAGACCAGCTCTTTCGTTCGACGACGAACCTGATCCATCAGCAGGTATGTGTACACCAAACACATGAAGGAAAGGAACTTTCGTGTCACGACACACCTGCAAGGAGTCCATGATGGTCACCAAGCTCGTCTTGAACGCCTGGAAAAAAACAGGACTGCCGTGCATATGACCTGACCTGCATCGGTAACTAGACACACATAACAAGGCAAATGGATTCCAAATGCACAGATCTCTTTGTGACCAACTATCGCATGCTGCCAAGCCGCATCTTGGGGCCGGCAATTCAGCGGATTGCTGCTCACGAAGCCAGCAAGGTGGCCGCCGTAAGTAAACAATCCCTGCACCATAACCTGATGCAAACGAAGGAGTTGCATACCTGCCTGCAACATGTGCCAAATCAATATCATTCAATGTATATATATATATATATGGTACCCCCCCCCCCAGTGACCTACCCTTTTTCGCCTTGTCTCAAGTCACCCAGCTGCACTGCAAGCAAACTCGGTGTGCAATATAGCGTATTTCCTAGGGCGTAGACTAAAATACAACTAAAATCGCATACACGGGACAGTAGAAAAACCAAAAATACCAAAACCCAAAAAACCAAAACCAAAAAAAAACAAAAAAACCAAAACCAAAAAAAACCAAAAAAACAAAACCAAAAAAACCAAAAACACCAAAAAAAATTTTCCGGGACTCTCAGGAAATCCCTATGAGGCTTCTCCAAGAGTCCCGGAAAATTGGTTTTTTTGGTATTTTTGGTTTTTTTGGTTTTGGTTTTTTTGGTTTTTTTGGTTTTGGTATTTTTGGTTTTTTGGTTTTGGTATTTTGGCTTTTTGGTTCGCCTTCACGGTCACGAGGCAACAACTACACATTTTTCAGTGTGCTTATGCTAATTGTGCTTTTCAGAAATAGTATACAAGTGGTCTTTCTAGTGCTTCAGAACTATTTGTTTCGTTATTACGTAAGTAGAGCCGCTAGTGTTTAGTGCATCTTTTGGTTGTACTCAAGTGTAGTAGACCTTATTCAGCCATTACTTGGTGCTCTGGTAGCCCAATTCGCATGGATAATATTTGCCTGGTAAATGCGATTAATTATCTAGAAGCAGCATTTGCAATACTTGTCTTGAGAAAAAGCATTTATTGCTTAGAATTGTTTGCGTAAAAAGTGACTCCTACTCGTCCAGGAATACCCCAAAACCCTATAATCCAAACTTTACCAGAGATTCTCATGTTTTTATGTATTTGTGAATTTGCTTGTGTATGGCCTTCACTAAGTACTTTTCTAGGATTCTTGTGCATTTTTTAAGCCTGATTGTGCAAGTTGCGTTTTTCAAGCATAGTATATATGTGGTCTTTATTGAATACTTCAGACATCTTTGTTTCATCGTTATGTAAGTAGTCAGCAATCTTTGTCTCATTGTTACGTAGGTAGAACCGTTTCCATTTCCGCAAGTGTCTATTTCGTATTTGGTTGAGTATGGTCCTTTAAATAGTATTCACTTGAGTCAAATTGGGCTATTTGCTTAAGAATTCCTCTAGTAGTTAAATTCGCATAGAATGAATACTTCAAAAACAGTTGTTTCATGAATATGTAAACATAAGGTGTTTCATTTGACTTTGCAGATAGTACTTCAATAATACTTTGCCTGGTACAAACACAACTGTTTCAATGCATTAGTTGCTCAACAAAGCACGATTTGCCCTTTAAACCACACTTTGCCATATTTTGTGCTCTTTCGTATTTTGGTTGAGTATGGTCCTTTAAATGGTATTCACTTGAGTCAAATTGGGCTATTTGCTTAATAATTACTCTAGTAGCTAAATTCGCATAAAAATGATTATTTCAAAAATAAAGACGATTCATGAATATGTAAACATATTGTATTTCAGTGGACTTTTCAGAGAGCATACTTTGCCTAGTACAAACACAATTGTATAAATACAGTATTTGCACTTTAAACGCACACTTTGCCATTTATTGGTTGAGAATGGTGTTTATTTCGTATCTTGGTTGGGTATGCTCCTTTAAACAGTATTCACTTGAGTCAAATTGGGCTCTTTGCTTAATAATTACTCTAGTAGCTAAATTCGCATAGAACCAAGAAAAATGTTTCACTATTTGATTAATACTTTGCCTCGTACAAACACAATTGTATAAATAAATTAGCTGCTCAACAAAGCATTAATTGCCCTTGAAACGCACAATTTGCATAGAAAAACACTGATCTGAACATCTAAAAACAGCATTGTCCGCTTCAGATTCAAAATGTAGATTCTTCCAATGCTGGCTTATCGGGGTCTGTGAGGTGGGTGTCCCAGTAACTGTCCTTCATTACCCGGTGATTAACTACGCGACTTTTGGGCCTTCTTTGTTATTTTTTGTTAAAAAGGCCTAAAAAGGCCTAAAAAGGGTAGGTCGCTGGGGGGGGGGGGTAGCATATATATATATATATATTGTTTAGGCAGACCACACACACACACCCTCAAATGCCAAGACCTCGATGGCACGACGAATATCTGCCGGCGTGCACTTCTGGAACACCTTCTCCTCGATACTGTCACCTGCTACAGTGTACAGAAATGCCTCTACCCGGCTTCATCCACACCCACACAACAGCAAGAATCAACAAACCGGCCTACGAAAGCCCGGTTTATGGCGACAATGTCGTCAACGGCCTTGATGATGAAAGGGCAGTCGATCCTTTCCCCAAGGCCCGGAAAGTCCTCACGCGATCTGCTTGCTCATCACAGTCATTTCTCAACTTGTTTTATACCTTCAGCAATAGCCGAATATCGGAACAAGCTAAGACCTCAGATTAGCACGCATCGGATGTCTACACCTGGCAATCACATCTGCTGGCACACGCAGTCCTCCGAACCAAGGAAAGCATCAGCAGCTGCCAGCCCGACCAACACTCCAATGTTTATATTGCGTGCTCACAGCAGGGGAAATGTTGAGTAATTGGAAGCAACAAACAAAGTCTGTCAGCGACGCACCTCCGCCTTCGGCACAACCACATACTTGGCGTTTTCAGGAAAATACTCCTACACACGTACAACCCATCGTCAGCACAACTGTGCCAGCACACAATGAACACATAATCGCAGCGGCAATCAACACTGTTTACATATGTGCTTATAAATAAAATAAGTCCTGCAGCAAAGGGCCCGAGCTGAAATCGTTCTTGTCCGTGTTCGAGCGGCCCTCACAAATCATCAGCATCACCAGCAGTCACAACACAAAAACCAATTACAAGGCCTTGGACACCACGATCACCGGAAGGGAGGCGAAGCTAGGAGCAGCCATTGCCGAGACAGAAGGTGCAAATAGCGCAGGCAAGTGATGTAAGTGTGAGATCACAAACGGCTTCGTCCAGCACTCTCACGACAGCTCCCCGACCTTGGGGTGCAGCAAAAAAAAAAGTGTCAGCCCACTCCCAGAAAGGGATGCTGCCACCATGTCCCAGCCCAGCCCCATCTCCAGCCTCCACTTCTGAACCCCCTGCCACAGGAGACGGACTTCTCTGCCGATTATAGTCTATGTCCAGGTCTTTCAACCCACAAATACAATCAACACACAGAACAAAACAAAGCCCAGCTCATGCTTTCTCGGACGTGGTTGTTCAGGGGGACCTCCCGGAGCCTTAAAACCTTCCAAATTCTCAGAGCTTCCCCTAAGTCGTCCAGGCTGGGCTTCTCCCAGACCATTTCTGAGCCTTTTTGGGAGCCTTTTGGGGCTCTCCCTGAGCTTTTTTTGGCGGAAAGGGCCCCTCCGAACCTTATTCGGTTATCATTCGGAAAGCCTCCAAGACCCTCTAAGAGGGGCCAACATAGCCTCCAAGACCCTCTAAGGGGGACCAACATAGCCTCCAAGACCCGCCAAGATTGGCCAACATAGCCTCCAAGATTATCCGACTAGAAAACCAACATAGCCTCCCCGACCCTCTGAGAGGGGCCAACATAGCCTCCATGACCCTCTAAGACCCTCCAACGAGGAGCCAACATAGCCTCCAAAACCCTTTAAGAAGGGCCAACATACCCTCCAAGACCCTCTAAGAGGGGCCAACATAGCCTCCAGACCCCACCACCCCGGAGGTAGCTGCCATGGCGCCTTGCGACCTTTGTTAAGGAGGTGTCCTTCCCCTGTAGGGATACCCTGCCTCCGATAGAGCAACACAAGCATCAGTCAACGATGATTTTACAAAGCAACCCAGAACCTACTACAACCAAGCAACAGGCAAATCTGCAGACAATGAGGGCTCCTCAGCATCAATCACACACACCGTTCGGTTTTCAAAAAAACACCTGCCAACGATCCCTGCTCCTCTCCCTTCCCCCCCTTTCTCATGTTCAAAAGGCCCGTCCCCTAAAAATCGTTTCTGAAGCCTGTGCTTTAAAGCTTTGTTTCAAGCCTTTTCAAGCCTCAATAAAATCTACCGGTATCCCAGACGGCTCTCCCGACTATGGCCCGTGTTTTTGTTTCCGAAGAAACAAAAACACGTTCCGGGACAGTCAGCCCCCCTCTCGAAAGAGGGATGCTGCCGCGGCGTCCCAAACCGCGACCCCCGTCTGAAGGCCTCTCCCACCCCAACCCCAAATCCAGCCGGATCCCCAGCCCCAGCCCGAGCCCCACAAATGCGTGCGCGACGAAGATAATTAAAAAAAAAAAAAAAGGAAACCAGTGAGAGGATGAGAAACAGTGGAAGAATGGGTGTGGTCTCTCTCTCTCTCTCTCTCTCTCTCTCACTCCCTCTGTTTCCTTCTCTCTCTCTCACACACACCAACAGAAACCAATCACGCTCGCCCGACGCTCCCTCCCCTTTATTTTACACGCGTGCGGAGAAAATGCGCTCGAAGGGCAGCCTTATAAAATTGCAAAAACAGATTACGGCGCTAAAGAAAGCAGCCTTAAAAAACAATTAAACACACTACAGCCGGGGGGCTAATTTAAGGGCCAGACCCGCAGTAGTCAACGACCCCATTTGCTCATCTAATTTGACCAATGACTGAAAGTGCACGTGCCCATGAGCTACGACTAGATGAACAATACATACGAAAAAGATGAGCAAAGGGGCTAGGCCCGTGAAAGTGGATCTCAAATGCACCAATTCCCTTTAACCCCCTCCCTAATCTTCAACCATCGAATTCACACAAACTAACCCGATACCTGCTTCATCTACATACGCAACACTTAAAGGGAATTGGGCATGGTCAAAAGAACGGAACCCTCCGAGGGAGGAGTTACACTGCGGCATCCGGGGACGAAGTCCCGCCCGTGCAACTCCCCCCTCGGCTTACCTAATAAGGAGTTCACGAATTAAGTATGATTTTACTTTTGCGATTAAACACTAAATTCGTGAACTCCTTGAAAAGGCCGCGCCCCGCGAGAAGTTCTTCCGAGATGAAAAACCCCAAACCCACATGGAAAATCTAAAACAACAAATCCCACGCAAACCTCAGGAAAACAAATACAGCTTACGAGAAGAACCTAAAAAATGTAACGCAATACTTCGGGGATGGAGCTTCTCACCTCGGAAGAACTTCATAAGAAAATCTCTTCGGCCGACGTGCACGCAGTGCAAAAAGGTGAAACAAGTTTAGGGTTTGGGGTTAGGGTTCAGGGTTTAGGGTTTTGGGTTTAGAGTTTAGGGTTTAGGGTTTCGGGTTTAGGGTTTAGGGATATAGTCAGCTTTAAATGGCACCACTCAAGGCAGCCTTGTGAAACTGGACAAATTGTTCAAATGTGGTGAGCACATCAAATGGCTCAAAGATTGAAAAAAGGACGATGACGTTGATGTATGTGTGTATGTAGAAGTGTATATGTATAGAATACATTAGTATGTATGTACATGTTTTTAAGTTGTATGTTATGGCCAATTGACAAAGAATAAATGGCACCAAAAAAACTCACTCGTCGGAGCCCCTGGCGTCGGGGTCCTGCACATCGTCGTCATCCTCCGGCTTCTGCATTGAATTATTGGCATGATGCCCTGTGGCATTCCAAACCTTTTGGTTTGGCCGCCGGAAAAAATATTTGGCCTTGGCCTTTGCCTTGGCCTTCGCGGCTGCGGATATCCGCGCTCTCTCCTTGAGCTGGGACCTCCGCAAGGCTAACGTAGCCGCGTTGCGCGGGACCTTTGTCTCGCAACGGTCACTCCGCTCGTAGTGACCTATCAGAGCAAGCGACAAAAACAAGTAAAAGAGTACGAAAGACGTAGAAAAGACCAACAAGAACACAAGACTGGAATCCCAGCCTCGCATCGTGGTCAACTTGCACTGTGTGCAAATACCACACGGAAGCCACGATTTGTCGTTGACCGCCTTCCTGCCCAGGAAAGTACAGAAACACTTCAAGACTACAACTCAACTTACCGGGCTTCAACGCCCAACAAGCCCCCCCCTCCCAACAGAAAAAGAAGCAAAAACATATGTGTGAGATTATAACACATGAAAACGGCCTCCGCTTGCGCGGGGCCTCGTGCTCGGCAAGTGGCATTCCGTCTTCGTCCTCCACCTCAGTTCAGAACAACGAAACACGCCCCCCCCCCCCCCCAACACAGAGATGGAAGACCAACTGCCTCGGGAACGACACTTGCCCAAAACTCGGCCATCTCATGGTCGTCTGCTTCCTGCAGAGTCAAGAAACCCTACCAACTCCCCACAACCACGAAATTGAAGTCCTCCTTGACGTCCACCCCGGTCAAGTCAATGACCACCTAAGAAAACAAAAAGATCAGAAAAAGACCCACCACGACAAAAACACAAACGGAAAGCAAAAGAAAAATGCAGGCCAAAGAGCTGGGACATCGCCACTGCCAGTCGGCACTTCCTGAAACCAACATCGCCAACATACAAACAAACACGAAACACCAAGACAGAACGAACAATAATCCAGGCAAAACACGATGCTGGGCATGGCCATCAGCTCGACGGGTATGGCCTCAAGAACCAGCAAGAACAGAATGCCAGAACACCACACAAGACAACAGCGCCAAGCCTCTTCTTCGCTGAAATCGAAGTAGTTATGCCAGCTGCTCCTTAGACGCAACACCACGTACAGGGAAAAACAAAAGGCAGCACAAAGGACTACGAAGTCGAGACGCGGCCAACATACCATCGTGCCGCGTGGCCTCAGAACAAACAAGCATCAAGAATACCAGGAACAACTAAGTACATGTAAAACTGTTGCAAAACAACATATAAGTCACAGGCATCGTTTTCAGGCCACGTGCCTGGGACCTTCCAATACTGATAAGAAAACACACCAAGCCACAACCAGTCCAAACCAATGGTACCAACTACCCCGCCTCATCATCACTATCGGTTTCCTCGAAGAAGCGCGCAGTAAAAAAAAACAAAACACTCACGAAGAAAACAAATAATGACACGAAAGGCCCAGACGACCGGCCCCGGCGGTGGCGGGTTCTCCTGAAGCAAGTCGGATAACAGGAGCAGCCATGGGATGGCATGTCGCCAACCAAAAGAGAAGAGAATATCTCAGCCAAAACTGACACCAATCAACAGCAACAGTCACGCCAAGTCACGGGGCCGTACGAAACAGGCTCACCGCGCTTTGTCATCGCCTCAGTTGCGAGGATGACATATCGCCTCCCGAATCCGAAATTCCACAACACACCAAACACAGACCCGAAGACGGGCAACCCCCCCCCCCCCCCCCAAACCCCCCCCCTACCCTTTCAAGCTGGCTTCAGCTCCTGTTTGGGTCCTGGTGCTACCCCCTACCCCCAAGCAATCACCCCCCGAGCTGACGAGCGCGTTTAAACCTTTCAACTATGCTCCAGCGGGGTCGGCGGCTTGAGCCGGAGGCTCATAAATTTAGGGTTTAGGGTTTAGGGTTTAGGGTTTAGGGTTTAGGGTTTAGGGTTTAGGGTTTAGGGTTTAGGGTTTAGGGTTTAGGGTTTAGGGTTTAGGGTTTAGGGTTTAGGGTTTAGGGTGGCAAGGCCAAGGCTGGAATGTTGGGATTTGGGGTGAGGCGCCCTCAGAGGAGCCTCACCAGAACCAACAGCACGGCCGAGAACCAGCCGTCGTCGACAGGCAGGGAGAGCAGTCCTTGGGGTTTAGGGGTTTGGGTTTAGGGTGTAGGGTTTAGGGTTTAGGGTTTAGGGTTTAGGGTTTAGGGTTTAGGGTTTAGGGTTTAGGGTTTAGGTTTTAGGTTTTAGGGTTTAGGGTTTAGGGTTTGGGGGTGGATATGGGGTTTAGGGCTTCTGGCTTCGGGCTTAGTGGGTTAGGTTACCTACCTGCCCACCTACGCGCCAACCCACCAACCCACCTACCCACAAAGTACAGTACTGTCCATGCGTCTACCTAGTACATTCACATATCATGGAAGCTCAATCTACTTAGCCACAATAATTACTCAATACCCTGAAGCACCCCCCCACCCTAAACCTAAACCCCTAAACCCCTAAACCCCCTAAATCATTAAACCCCCTAAAGCCTTAAACCCCCTCTCACTCCAAGCCGCGCAGGAGGCCCAGGAAGGTCTCGCGCTCTTGCCGCGGCAGCTGGTTCCTCGGGTCTTGCGGAGATGTGCTGAAGAAAGGCGCAAGTCATCCTCAAGCACTACAAAGCAGGCAAGCGCTGTGCCTCTATGAATGCCCCTAAGCCTGACAAGCCCCTAAACCCGAAACCCGAAACCCTAAACCCTAAACCCTAAACCCGAAACCCTAAACCCTGGACCCTAATTCAGCCCATCCACTGGGCTTTGGGGGTTTCGGAAGCTCCCAGCAGTACAAAGGTCGTGCCCTTCTGTAGACCTTCTGCGTGGAAAGAAAGTACCCTGCCGATTTGATTACAAGGCCTAGTTCAGAGCGAGCTTTCAGAGGACCAGCTACACCCTACACCCTACACCCTACACCCTACACCCTAAACCCTAAACCCTAAACCCTAAACCCTAAACCCTAAACCCTAAACCCTAAACCCTAAACCCTAAACCGGGATGGAACTTACATCCAGCTGTGCGGCACCAACGGCTCCACAATGCCAATGCTCCTCAGTCGCATTCGCGGGAGTTGGGTAGAGGAGTCTCAGCTCTCGGGGCTCTTCTGAATGTCCTTGGTTTAGGGTTTAGGGTTTAGGGTTTAGGGTTTAGGGTTTAGGGTTTAGGGTTTAGGGTTTAGGGCTTAGGGCTTGGGGTTTAGGGAAACCCTGAACCTCAAAACCACCGAAACTTTAAACCCCAGAACCCCAAACTCCTAAAACCCCAAACGCCTAAAACCCCAAAGACATCAACTCCCTCACCCCCCCCCCCCCGGAACAAAACAACAAAACAAAAAAAAGACACCCAAAACTCCTGAACCTGAAAAGCCCAAAATACTCGAAACACCCGTCACATCCTTGAAAGAGAAAGAAGACGCTTTAAAAACCCTCAGCACCCCATATGCCAGGAAGTTGGACTCGCATGGGCTCAAATCATGCCTTATTGGCCCTGTGCCCTGGACAGGGGAAATAGGAGGTCTAGGGTTCAGGCATGGGGCTTCGGGGTCCGGGCTTAGGGCTGTTGAGGTCTGCTTACAGCTGTGAACCTTCATGTCTTAGGAGGCTCAGGGTACTTATGACCATAATTTTTAACTGTGCTTTTTTCGCCCCCTATGTCCTCTAAGTAGACTATCAGTAGACCTATAATTTGGGATATAAGTACCCATGAACCTCCAGGTAGGGTTTTCTGTAGGGATTGTGGGTTTAGGGTTTGGGGTGTTAGGGCTTGCGCCAAAAACTGAAAGAGCTGCCCAGCGACGCTGCATCCGGCGCCGTGGCACGCCCCCGAATGGGAGCACGTGGTGGGTACACCTTCGAGGGTTGAGGGCTTAGGGCTTAGGGCATAGGGCTTGGGGCTTAGGGCATAGGGCTTAGGGCTTAGGGCTTCCTTACACCCTAAGCGTGAATGAGGTAAGCGTTGATACTGGAGTTTAGGATACTCTGGGGCGTTGCCGTTTGGGATCCAGCCAGGCGCGGTCTGTTCCAGGATGAAAGAAAGCCGGCGCCTGTTTGAACATATTTGTGAATTCCACCTAGAATGCCTATTTTGCTCCTGAGCCCTCAGCCCTATCAAGCCTACACCCTGAATCCACTCGATGTGACCCCTGTACAGAACACGCAAAGGGCGCCTTTCTTGGGCATCTTAGGGGTCTGAGGGCGGAGGGCATTTGCAGCTAAAGTCAAAATTTCTAGGGTTTAGCCCACGGCCCCCTACACCCCCAACCTGGGTTTAGGGTTTAGGGTTTAGGGTTTAGGGTTTAGGACTTTGGGTTTAGGGTTTAGGAGGGTTGCGCCTGCACATGGCCAGAAACGAGGAGAGAGCCGCGCGGACGCCATGCCATGTGGGGGGGTGTCGATCTACACCTGGGGTCCTTTCCGGTACCCTATGGCTCTAAGGAACTCCACATGGAGACCCGAAACGGGCCCTGATCCCGAAAACAGGGTCTTTAGGGTGCAGGGTTTAGGGCTTAGGGTTTAGGGTTTAGGGTTTAGGGTTTAGGGTTTAGGGTTTAGGGTTTAGGGTTTAGGGTTTAGGGTTTAGGGTTTAGGGTTTAGGGTTTAGGGTTTTAGGTAGGGTTACACACAGCCGTACACCTTAAGCCCTCAGGGATCATGAATAAGGACCCTAAAACAGGGTTCCATCACCGGGCTTCGGGGGCTTGAAGCTTGCGGCTTAGGGGCCTTGAGGGGCCGAGGGTTTAGGGTTTAGGGTTGAGGGCCTTCGGGCCTGCTTCCCCTGCAGCCCAGAAGCTCGGAAGCCATGTTCGGAAGCTGGGACGTCGCTTGTGCTGTTTTATGGGCTTCGGGGTTGGAAAAACCCCCCACAAAACCAAAAAATGACCCTTGGGACCCTAAACCCTAAACCCTAAACTCTAAACCCTAAACCCTAAACCCTAAACCCTAAACCCTTGGGACCCCTCCAAAGCCCTCTGAAGGTTCCAGGGTCCCGCCCCGGAGCTCAAGGGCTACCCCTACAGGTTTAGGGTTGAGGGTGGAGGGTTGAGGGTTTAGGGCTTAGGGTTTACGGTTTAGGGTTTAGGGTTGAGGGTTTAGGGTTTAGGGTTTAGGGTTTAGAGTTTAGGGTCAAGGTTTGGAGGGCTTACGCTGTGGGATTTAGGAGGTAGAGAGTGCCGAGGGTTCAGGGTTTGGGGTGCAAAGGCCTAGCCCTAAACTTCCCCTCACAAGCTCCTAATGTTGCCCCTGTCTTCCCCAAAAAACGGGTCTGCAAACCCGGTGGTAAAACGTGAGAGAGATCCAAGGTAGTTCTTTCGCCCGGGCTGTAAAACCCTAAACCAAAAATGGCCGACGAATGGCTGTACACTCGATAAACTAAAACCGTAAACCCTAAGCCACTGAAACCTAAAAACCATTAAACCCTAACCCACCCTAAAACCCTAAACCACTGAAACCTAAAAGATATTACACGCTAACCCACCCTGAAGCCCAAAACCATTGAAACCTAAAAGCCCTTGAACCCTAACCCACCCCGAAGCCTCAAGCATGGATGTCTCCCCTTCTACTAACAGTCCTGAACCGGGATTACAAATAAGAGTTTAGGGTGCTTAGGGTTTAGGGTTTAGGGTTTAGGGTTTAGGGTTTGGGGGGGGGTACGAGAATCCCTACTAAGGAGCTGTTAGTATAAGGGGGAGCATCCCAACCATAAACCCTAAACCCGAAACCCTACACCCCAAACCCGAAACCCTAAAGGGGAGCCGCCTCGAACTCCACAAAATCGTCCAGGTCGGACGCGCCAGGCCTCCATTTGACGGGTTTTGGGTTCAGGGTTGAGGCTTCAGGGTTGAGGGTTTAGGGTTGAGGGTTTAGGGTTTAGGGGTTTTGGGTTGAGGGTTTTGGGTTGAGGGGGGGTTGAGGGTTGAGCTTTAGGGTTGAGGGTTGGGGGCGTTGGGCTCTTCAGGCGTTTGCAGTGTTGGGGTTTAGGGCCAGAGAGCCTTCAATCCGGAAGGAGAAAAACAAACTCGAAGTTCTCCCCGGTGCGAGGTACCCGCATGTAGGAACAGGAGCAACACCTCAACCCTCAACCCCCAACCCCCAACCCCCAACCCGCAACCCTCAAACCTCAACCCTCAACCCGCAACCCTCAACCCTCAACCCGCAACCCTCAACCCACCCTAACCCTCAACCCCTCAGCCCCCCCCCCCCCTAACCCTCAACCCCTCAACCCCCCCTAACCCTCAACCCCCAGCCCTAAACCAAACCTTCGAACTGAGGCCCTGGCTGGCGCCCCAACGCTAGACTGAGCAGATCCTGGACTGGGTGGGTTCAGGCGGTTTAGGGTTTAGGACTCAGGGTGCAGGGTTTGGGGCTTAGGGTTTAGGGTTTAGGGTTTAGGGTTTAGGGTTTAGGGTTAAGGGTTTGGGGTTTGGGGTTTGGGGTTTGGGGTTTGGGGTTTGGGGTTTGGGGTTTGGGGTTTAGGGTTTAGGGTTTAAGGTAATACGCAGATGCTGTGAAGGTTGGGATGCAAAGAGGCTCGAAAGCTTCGTTCGGTGCGAAGAGCAGCTCTGGCCCGATTATGGAGGGCCGTAGGACACCCCTTTCTCCCACCCCACGCTGGAGCTAACCCATTCCGTTTAGGGATTAGGCCTAAACTTTACATAAACAAGTCAATTGCCTACTTCCAAAACACTTTTCCGTTACCGATGAGGGAGTGTGGTGGGGGTCCTAAAAGGATCTCAAGCGAAGTGCCAGTTTGGAAAGGTTCGCGGCGTATTTCAGGGGGGTTTCAGAAAGGCCCCGCCGGGCGTTCCAGGGGGCCACTATGAGAAAAGAAAAGCTGGGACGCTACGGCAGGGGTCTGGGGTTTAGGGCTAGAGTTTAAGTGTTTTTTGGGGCCGCTGGGTTTATAAGGGACATGTAGGGTTGTTTTTGGAACAGGTTGCTTGTTATCAACTACCATGCCAGGCTCGGGCTTTATGGTTCGGAATCCAAGGTTTTTGACATCGAAAAAAGTAGTTCTGCCCCTACCTGAAGGCTCCGGGAACAGGACGTCTTTAGCATGACCCTCACTGAGTCTGCAAACAAAAAGCTGCTTGCAACCCAAAAGCCCCCAAGCCACGGAACCCAGAACCCTGACCCTAAACGTGGCCGTAAACCCTGCGGAACACTTCTCTGAGACCCTATAAACCCTCAACTCAAAACCCTCAACCCTAAACCCCGAACCCTGAACCCTGATCCCCCCTCAACCCTCAACCCTCAACCCTAAACCCTCAACCCTAAACCCTAAACCCTAATCCCTAAACCCTAAACCCTAAACCCCTGCAGCTCCCCCCAAGCTCCCGGCTGCGCCCTGCGTGGCAGCGAAGTCGTCCATTGGGTCCATCGGATCCATGGTGGCTAAAACAACCGAATCAAACAACCTGAAGTTCTAAACCCCTATTCTAGGGTTTAGGGTTTAGGGTTTAGGGTTTAGGGTTTATGGAGGCTCTGGGAGGGTTGCGGGGCTTGTAGACTTTGGAGTTTAGGGTTCAGGGTTCAGGGTTTGGTTGAAAGCAGTGCGCGCCGCGAACCTGAAGGTACCGATCCGCCTCCATGGATGCAGCCACAGTGTTGCAGCGCACGGTACTCGTTGGGCTCTTTCTGCATGCATGCCCTCGAAAGTGGGTCAAAATGGAAATCTCCATTGCTAAGAACCACAATCCTGACCCCTGAGCCCTAGAACCTAAACCCTGCATCCTAAGCCCTAAGCCCCGCAGTAAAGTACTTGCTGCACCCTGCACAACGAAAGCTAAACCCTTTTGGAACCGCTGCAAGCCAGATACCTTAAGCCCTCAACTCTCACGCACCCTCACCCATAAACTCCCTAATCACCCTAAACCGCACTCTGCCAAGACTACCCAACCTAAACCCTCTATAGAATCAAACCCTGAACTGCATCCTAATCCTAACCCTAACCCTAAACCCTAAACCCTAAACCCTAAACCCTAAACCCTAAACCCTAACTCCAACGGACAAGCTTTTCTCCTCCTCAGCTGCCAGCAGGTCAGAGCGGGCTATGCCGGCCCTCAGAAACTCCCTCAGCCTGCTCGAGTAGCGGTTTAGGGTTTAGGGTTTAGGGTTTAGGGTTTAGGGTTTAGGGTTTAGGGTTTAGGGTTTAGGGTTCAGGGTTTAGGGTTTATGGTGGCTGTGGTGGGGGTGTGGGTGGTGTGGGAGTGTGGGGGGGTGCGGGTGGTGTGGGGGTGTGGGCTCGAACTTTTTGGGGTGCAGGGGTTTCTGGGCTTAGGGTGCAGAGTGCAAAGTTGGCCGACTTCCGGAGAAGAGAAACCGTGGGAATTTTGGAACACTACCTGAAAACCTTCCACTGCGAAGCATTTTCTGGAACTGGAAGGGACTACCCCCCTCCCCGAATGTTGGTACCACTCACTTCTCTAAGTTAGAGTTCACCGACGAAAACACCGGGGGGCCAAAGAGAGGACCATTTGTTAGAACCACCCCCCCTAGATGACAAGCCCACCAAAAGCCTAAACCCCCGAAACCCTGAACACGAAGCCCTGCACCCTCAATCTTATGCGAACGACCTTACCTGCTCACTATGCCCACCCATGCCAGTGAACGTGCCCAGTAATTCCTGACACCCCTGCTGACATGACACAGAGGGGGTTTAGGGGGTTGCGTTCAGGGCATTCAAGGTTCTCTAAGGGAGTAGTTATCACCTGAAGGGTGTGTTCCCGGGGTTGGCCTGGTCATGGGGTGCCCCCCAGCGGCGTTCAGGGGGACGTTGAAGTAGGGCACTTGTGCAGCATCCAACTTGTTGGTGAGCCAACGCTTGCTGCCCTGCGGGGGGCTAGCCGATGGAGGGTTTCAAGCTTAGGCTTTGGGAGCTTTGGGAGCTTTAGGAGTTTTAGGGTTTAGGGTTTAGGGTTTAGGGTTTAGGAGCTTAAGGAGGTTTAGGAGAGTTCGATATTTCTCTTTGCTTGGGGGGTTTGAAGGGTTGGGCTTGTGGTGGCCACTGAGAATCCTGAACCCTAAGCCCTGAACCCTACTTTGGGGGATTTGGGGAGGCTCCGAAGGCGTTCCCTTTTTGCTTTTTTTCCTCTTTTTTTTTTTTTTTTTTTTGGGGGGGGGTTCCTATACAGTGAGGATTGAGTATTTTGGGGTATATTGGGAGTACGCCTGTTTTGGGATGTACCCTACATGAACAGCTGCGACCCCAAACCCTAAACCCTAAACCCGAACCCCAGGACATGAACAGCTGTGAAGGATCCCCACAAAGCAAAAGAAAATCCGTGAAACTCAAAAAAAATTAAGCCTCTAAACCCTAAACCCTAAACCCTAAACCCTAAACCCTAAACCCTAAACCCTCGGCCCAGAACTCCGAAAGCCCAGGGAGACAAATCCCTGAACCGAATCTCCCGAGGTCCTGCAATCTAGTCCCCAAGCCCCGAACGCCTTCTCTCAAAACTGTCCGGTACCCTTCGAAAAACCAGGGATTCGGGTTCAGGGTTTGAGGGTTGAGGGTTTGGGGTTTAGGGTTTAGGGTTTAAGGTTTAGGGTTTAGGGTTAGGGTTTAGGGTTTAGGGCTTTGGGTTTAGGGTTTAGGGTTTAGGGTTTAGGGTTTAGGGTTTAGGGCTTAGGGTTTAGGGTTTAGGGTTTAGGGCGTCCTTCCACCGGCCACCCGGAGGCTTGCTCACCACCACGCGCGCGCAGGGGCACACGGCCACCAGGCACTCGAGATCCTCGCGGCTGCTGGGGGGCTCCAGGGCGTTTGGGGTTTATAGGGTTCAGGGTTCAGGGTTCAGGATTCAGGGTTCAGGGTTTAGGGTTTAGGGTTTAGGGTTTAGGGTTTAGGGTTTAGGGTTTAGGGTTTAGGGTTTAGGGTTTGGGTTTAGGGTTTAGGGTTTAGGGTTTAGGGTTTAGGCTTTAGGGCCTGTGGGCTTTGGGCATAGGGCTGAGTAACCCGAGAGGGGGCCGGCAGGGGTTGGATGGGTGGCTGAGCCTCGTGGTGCGGCGCTGGGCTTCGCAATTTGGTTGCCGGCTTTTTGCACTTTTTTGGGATTTTTCAGGATTTAGGGTTTAGGGTTTAGAGTTTAGGGTTTAGGGTTTCAGGTTTAGGGTTTAGGGGGGCCTTCAGGAGTTTGGGGGGGAGGCTTTGGGGACTGAGGGTTTAAGGGGTAAAGGGCTTAAAGATTTGGGGTTAAGGCCCTACCCAAACCCAAACACCCTCGACCACAGTTCCGAAAACCAGAAATTCCCCCAATTCCTTTTGATCTTCTACAAAAAACCTACATGACCTTTTGCAAAACAGCTCCATGCGACGACGTGACGTAGCCACAGTTAGGCTCAAAATTAACCCCCCTGTATTAAACCCCCTACCCCTTCATCTTAAATACCCCCAACTTCAATACCCCCCATATACTAGAAAATAACTTTCAATTATTCTGGTGGTATTTAAAATTAGGGGGGGGGCCTAATACTGGGGGGGGGAGGGGGGGCGGATTGCTTAAACCAGTTCCTAACTCCCTCAAAGCGGTCCAGCGGCCGTGCTGCGAAGCCCCGCACCTCGCCCTTTCCAGGCGCCGGCGGCTCCAGCCAGTCCCAGAGCCTGGCACTGCGGAGAAGCGTCTCGGACTTTCAGGGTTGAGAGTTTGAGGGTTGCGGGTTGAAGGGAAAAAGGGCTTGGGGAGGGTTGAGGGTTTAGGGTTGAGGGTTGCGGGTTTAGGGCCTGGGTTGAGGGCGCTTGGAAAGGGTTCGGGAGGGTGGTTGAGCCTCCTTAAAGCCCCTTAAACCCCTAACCCATAAACCCCTGAACCCTTGGTGTTTCGAGGATGCCCAAATATCTACTCACTGAGCCTTCACGCAAAGACAACAGTCCTGGTGCTAGGGTTTAGGAGAGGGCCCTCTTCTGGGGTATAGAAGGATACCCTGAGTTCTGAAAGGTGGTAAGACCTACACGCCTTCCACTCTAACCTCTCCGCCCAAGACCCCCAACCGAACCCCAAGGCCCAAAAACCTAAAATCTACAAACTCAAAGTCCTAGACCCTACCGAAATTCCTCAACTAACCCACGGCAAGGCACCCGTTTAGGGCAACCCTCGAACCTGAAAACCGTCAAACCCACCATACTAAAGCCTCCCCAGAACCGCAAACCCAAACACCCCTAAACCCGAAAGCCCGAAATCAAATCTAAGTCCCTAAACCTCCCAGACTACAAAAGATCCTACCCCCCGCCGCGCCCCCAAACCCCGAACTTCTAAAAAATCCTCAATCACCCACCCCCAAAAAAACAATGATTATGTACAAAAATGTATAAGAAGAAGAATGATCATGATTATTCGCAAAATGATACTGAGAATGAGAATGGTAAGGAGAATGACAGTGCTAGTGATAATGATCATAGCTCTGAGTCCAGCCACATCGGGGTTTTCGTAGGACCCCAATACGGTACCCCGAAACCCTAAACCCTAACTAAGCCCCAAACCCCAAACCCCAAACCCCAAACCCCAAACCCTAAACCCCAATCCCTAAACCCTAAACCCTAAACCCTAAACCCTAAACCCTGAACCCCACTTTCGGGAAGCCCAGCCACGTGTCTTGCATCTTGGCCAGGATGGGGGGGCGCTGGGCGGGCCCCGGGTGGCTCCTGGGTGGCGCCCAGGCGCCCCGCTTAGGGTTTTAGGGTTTAGGGCTTAGGGTTTAGGGTTTAGGGTCTAGGGTTTAGGGTTTAGGGTTTAGGGGTTAGGGGTTAGGGGTTAGGGGTTTAGGGTCTATAGAAATTGTATAAGCTTTGTGTCCGAAGTTTTGGGGGGTTTTGTCGGGTTTTGGGGGGTTTTGTTTTTTAGCTTTTGCAACTTCGTTTTTGGGATTTTTGGGGAGGGCTTGGCCGGGGGGCTGGGGGGCTGCGGGGCTGGAGGGCTGGTGGGCTGGCGGGCTGGGGGGCTGGTGGGCTGGGAGTTTTGGGGGGTTTTGGAGTTTGGGGGGTTTTGCTTTTTGTTTTTGCTGAAATTTGGGGAGGTTTTGTCGGGGAGGTTTGGGCTTTTTGGTGGGTGTTGGGGGGCGTAAAGAGGCCGGCAGCATCTTTCGGGGCTTGCTTTCCCCGTTCAGGGTCTCTTTTGGTACCCTGAAAACCATGCTTTTGTCTGACTTTTTTTGCACTGTGAAGGATGGGATTATTGCACGAGCTGCTCGTAATGAAACGAGTACAATTTTCTATTTATCCTGGCCTTGAGGGTTTAGGGTTTAGGGTTGAGGGTTCAGGGTTTAGGGTTTAGAGTTTGGAGTTTGGGGTTTAGGGTTTAGGGTTTAGGGTTTAGAATTTAGGGTTTAGGGTTGTTTAGGGTTCAGGGTTTAGGGTTTAGGGTTTAGGGTTTAGGGTTTAGGGTTTAGGGTTTAGGGTTTGGGAGAGGGGTCTTCAGCTGTTGCAGACATCTGAGGCACTTTTACGGTTGAGGGTGGAGGGTTGAGGGTTGAGGGTTGAGGGTTGAGGGTTTACGGGTTTACGGGTTTACGGGTTTACGGGTTTAGGGTTTAGCACTCCGGGTCGAGCAGCTTTATGGTAAAGCTTTGTTTACGGCTTTGATAAAACACTCACCCACCCATTGAGAAAGCCAGAAACGGCCAAAAACTGAAAACAAAGCGGCCAAAAACTGAAAATACAGCGGCCAAAAACTGAAAGTAAAGCGGCCAACAAACTGAAAATAGAAGCGGCCAAAAATTGAAATTAAAACGGCCACAAAACTGAAATTCAATTAAGGTTTAAACATATATATGGTAGAGAGGGTTTGGGGTTTAGGGCTTCAGCCATCCAAGGCTTTGTGCGTCGGTTGCTCGGAGCTATTCGGGGCTTTGGGGCCTGGCGAAGCACTTCGCAAGCTACCAAAACCCACCCACACACACACACAAAAAAACAAAATAATCAAGAAAATAAACAAATATATAATATAATAATAGTAATAATAGTAATAATAGTAATAATGATAATAATAATAATAACAATAATAATAATAATAATAGTAATAGTAATAAAAATCTTCTCTTCGACTCCGAGGTGCCAGGCCTCGCCGCGGTCCAGGTCGCTGGGGGTCAGGTTGCTCCCCACCGTGTAGGGCTCGTAGTAGAGCAGCCTCTTTTTTGGGGGTTTGGGGGGGGGCGGGGGGGGGGGGGGGGGGGGGGGGGGGGGGCGGTTTTTAGGGCTCTTAGGGTTTTTAGGGTTCTTAGGGATTTTAGGGTCTTTAGGGTTTTTATGGTTTTTAGGGTTTTTAGGGTTTTTAGTGTTTTTAGGGTTTTTAGGGTTTTTAGGGTTTTTAGGGTTTTTAGGGTTTTTAGGGTTTTTAGGGTTTTTAGGGTTTAGGGCTGAGGGCGTAACCCTCAGAGTAGAGGGGCCTCTTGTGGGGGCTTTGGAGCTTTTCCAGTTTTGTGGGGGGGCCTTTCAAAGTCGCTGAGCTCATTTTTTGTCCAGGTGTTTTTTGCTTCTGGGCTTTGTTGGTGGGGTTTTTGGTGGGGACTTTTCGGGATTCCAGGGATCCCTCCACTCCAAAAGGCACCAAAAGATCCACCTAAGACCTCCCTAAACCTCCAAAAAACCCAAAGCCCCCCAAGACCTAAACCCTAAACCCCAAACCCAAAACCCTAAACCCCAAACCCTAAACCCTAAACCCCAAACCCTCGACCCTAAACCCTGATGCTGTTAGGGGAAGGCGGTCTTGGGGGCGTAAGGGCAGGAAGTTGGTCGAAAGTAGCTGTGCAGCAGGTCACAAAAACCTGCTTGCCAAACCCGGCATCAGGGTTAGGGGGTTGGGGTTTAGGGTTTAGGGCCTAGGGTTTAGGATTTAGGGTTTAGGAAGTTTGGAGTTTAGGGTTTCGGGTTTAGGAAGTTTGGGGTTTAGGGTTTTAGGGTTTTGGGGTTTTAGGGTTGAAGCCTAGACCGCTTTGAAACCTAAAACAAAAATGGCCGACTCGTGGCCCAACGTACTAAGATATTAGAGTGACTCCTAGGAACTGCTCAGGGTTTAGGGTTTAGGGTTTAGGGTTTAGGGTTTAGGGTTTAGGGTTTAGGGTTTAGGGTCTAGGGTTTAGGGTTCTCCGGGTGCCCCAAATGAGGCCCCAAGGGCCTGTCCATCGTAGCAAGGCTCTCGCACAGTGCGCTGGCACCCGGCAGAAGCTCCTCTTCTGGCATGTGCCTTCGGGGGGTTTAGGGTTTAAGGTTTAGAGTTTAGGGTTTAGGGTTTAGGGTTTAGGGTTTAGGGTTTAGGGTTTAGGGTTTGTTTAGGGTTTAGGGTTTAGGGGGGGCTCCAGATTTTTCGAGGGGCTCGGGAGTGGGGGGGGGGTTTCTTTTTAGGCTTTGGCTTTCAGGGCTACGGCCTGTGGGTGAGGGTATTTGTTTACGGACCCAGAACCCAAAATCCTACATGGTCGGTTCTCTGATATCATGGTCCCTCTTCATGGGGGCACCCTCATTTCTCGAAAACAAGTTTTTGAACCCCCAAACCCCTGAACATCCTAAACCCCTAAGCTCCTCAACAACCCTGGGTTTGGGGTTTCGGTTTCCCTAAACCCTAAACCCTAAACCCTAAACCCTAAACCCTAAACCCTAAACCCTAAACCCTGAACCTCCAAGTAGAGGGTTCATTTCCGCGTCTAGCCACAGTCAAGGTGCGAGGAGGGGAGCATGCCGGCCAGATCCGCCAGGCTCGGCCCCTCCGGCGCCTCGACAGGCGTGCCACTTTGAGAGCATGGAGGAGGGTTTAGGGTTTAGGGTTTAGGTGTTTAGGGGTTTAGGGTTTAGGGTTTAGGGTTGAGGGTTGAGGGTTTCGGGTTTAAGGATTAGGGTTTAGGGTCTAGGGGTAATTTCATGGTCCCTTAGTATGGGCCCTTAGACGGGGACCCCATATAGACCCCTTAGACAAATCAAGGGCCCATACATCAGAACCTATGAGAGGCTAGGGACCATGTTAAGGGCCCATGGAAACCACCCGTACATAGGGTTTAGGGTTTAGGGTTTAGAGTTTAGGGTTGAGGGAACTATGATCTAGGTGTAGTTCCAGGTAGGGTCAGAAGCAAGGTAGCCTACCTCATGGCTCAACCCTTGGGGTTTGAGGTTCGGGCTTTAGGGCCCGAGGTCTTAGCCAGGTTCGGGTGCTTCGGGGGTTTTGGGGTTTTAGGGTTTGGGGGTTTGGAGTTTGAGGCTTTTTTAACCCTAAACCCTAAATCCTAAATCCTAAACCCTAAACCCGAAGCCCTAAGCCCTAAACCCTAAACCCTAAACCCCTTTTGGGGTGTGTATGCTGGCACGAGCTCCCACCTCCAACACCGCAAAGAGGAACCGCCGGGAGCAGAGCTTGGTCCCATTGCAGGCCGGGCACCAGGAAGAGCCTCCGACCCAAAACACTACTAAACCCCAAAACCCAAAACCCAAAACCCTAAACCCTAAACCCTAAAACCCTAAACCCTAAACCCTAAACCCTAAACCCTAAACCCGAAGCCGCTCCAAGTCCAGGGGTTAGAGGGTCTTGAAGCGGTTTTAAAGAAGAGTTCCATGACGGCTAGTTGAGGTTTCAGGGTTCAGATCCTGGATCTATACGCTGAACCCTGAACCCTCCACGAACCCTAAGCCCTAAAACCCGAAAGACCTATAGCCGCACCAACCCCAAAAAGCCTACCCTAAACCCTAAACCCTAAAGACCCAGAACCTTGTAGTGCGATATGGGCTTCTGTCGTGAGTTCTACATTCCTAGGAGCATGGCAAGGAACGCGTCTCTCCCCCTCTTGCTGCTCATCATGTCGTCAAGAACGGTCTTACACAACACTTGTGGCCCCATAAAGGGAAGGCTTGTGGTGATGGACTTCGGGGTGGAAACAGGGTTTAGGGCTTAGGGTTTAGGGTTCAGGGTTTTGGGTTTTGGGTTTAGGGTTTAGGCTTAAAGGGGAGTCTTCAGAAGGGGCCTTTAAGGGGCTTCAGGCAAGCTTCCGTGAAGGGCTCCGAGTCGCAGGATCTCGAGTTTAGGGGCAAGGGTCTAGGCAGGACCTGAACCCTCTACCCCAACAAACCACAAAACCCTCACGCCCCTTAAAGCCCTAAGCCCCCAAAGCACCCTAAAACCCCTAACGCCCCCCAAAAAAACCAACGTCGACCCCCCCCCAAGCCGTAAAACCCCTAAACCCCTCAACCCTAAACCCTGAAAGCCTAGACCCGAAACCCTAAAGCCTAGACCCTAAACCCTAAACCCTAAACCCTAAACCCTAAACCTAAACCCTAAACCCTAAACCCTGAACCCTGAAACCCTGAAACCCTGAAACCCTAAACCCTAAACCCTGAAACCCTGAACCCTGAACCCTGAAACCCTGAAACCCTAAACCCTGAACCCCTAAACCCTAAACCCTAAACCCCAAACCCTAAACCCCTAAACCCTAAACCCTAAAAACCCTAAACCCCAAACCCTGAAACCCTAAACCCTAAACCCTAAAGCCTAAACCCTAAACCCTAAACCCCAAGGCCTTGTGAAGAGGTCGGCATCGTCTGGCTGCCGGCGCAGGCCAAGGATGCAACCAGCAGCGACGGAAACATGGCTCCCATGATCCAAGAGATTTAGGGGTTTAGGGTTTGGGGTTTAGGGTTTGGGGTTTAGGGTTTGGGGTTTAGGGTTTGGGGTTTAGGGTTTGGGGTTTAGGGTTTTGGGTTTAGGGTTTGGGGTTTAGGGGTTAGGGTGTAGGGATTTAGGGGGGGGGGGGGGGATTATAGGGGTTTTTCGGAGGGTGTTATGGGGGGGTTTATAGAGGAAGGATTTTTGGGTTTAGGGTCTAGGGCTTAGGGCTCAGGGCTTAAGGGCTTAAGGGCTTATAGGGCTTAGGTCTTAGGGCTTAGGGCTTAGGGCTTAGGGCTTTAACTTCGGGATGTTGGGAGTATCAGCCTTGGGGCGTACGGTTGAGAAAGCTTCGGGTCCTCCCTACACCTGGAAGAAAGACAGTTCTCCTCAGTGGCTCGAGCCGGGTGGGCGAGAAGAAAGTCGAAACCTTAATCCCAAACCCCTAAACCCCTAAACCCCAAAACCCCAAAACCCCAAAACCCCTAAACCCCTAAACCCCTAAACCCCTAAACCCCTAAACCCCTAAACCCCCAAACCCCTAAACCCCTAAACCCCTAAACCCTACCTAATTCCCAAAGCCCTTTGTGGTTCAAAGGGGCCTTTCGGGTTCGGAGGGCGTTCTTGCACGCTCGAGGACCCTTATCACTCGGCGTCGGGGCGCGCTTGGAGGTCCCGTAGGGTCCAGTTGGCGTGGAGAGCCCGGAGTTCAGGAGTTTAGGGCTTAAGAGGGTGCAGAGTTGTGATGTTCTTAAACGAACAGCTCCTCAGCAGAAGGAGTACTATGGGGTACTAGAATGCTATTAAGGACTGGATGGGGGGAACATCCCAAGGTTTAGGGCTCAGGGGGGCTTAGAGTCGAAGAGTCTAGAGTTTAGGGTTTGGGGTTTAGGGGGGTTTAGGGTTTAGAGTTTAGGGTTTAGGGTTTAGGATTTCGGGTTTGAGGTTTAGGGTGAGTCTGGAGTTCAAGGCTTGGGGCAGTTTACGGGCCTGGCAAGTCGGCCGACAGAAAATCCTGGCTTCGACACTTTCCCGGCACTCGGAAGCCTCTATTCCCCGAAGGCGTTGCCGCGGGCCCCTGTCAATACTGACTCAAGGAATCATGGTTTGGGGTATCGGGGTTAGGGTTTAGGGTTTAGGGTTTCGGGTGTCGGGTTTCGGGCTTAAGGGTTTGGAATATTGACAAGGGCCGGCCTACGGCTACAGACATCTAGCCTGCGTTGTCGCGGCATCAATGTGTCCGCCGCTGTTGGTGTTGTAGACCGTGTCGAAGGTGCCTGAGCCAGCCACCCAAAAAAAGAAACCCTTGAGCCGGGTGAAAGCCCTCATCCCTAAACCCCCCCTGCCCCTAAGCCCCTCAAAAGCCCAGAAACAACCCCCGAAAACCATAAACTCTAAACCCCAAACCCCGCCATAAAAACAACTTCTAGAATCCCTTACTTTTGGATAGTTAGGGGTCCACCCTTACTTTTCGTGGTTTCAAAAGAGTTGGCGCTGACGGGCACGCATCGCAAGTGCCTTTCGCAAACAAAAAATAGGAATCCCCTTAAACCCACTTCCAAAAAACTAAATATTTATAACATAAACAAAAAGTAACAATAACAAAAAAAATAATCCTAAGAAAAAACACTGATCATCATCATCATCATCATCATCATCATCATAATCATAAAAAACACAATAATAAGAGCAATACGAAGAAGAAAACAAAGTAAAAAATAAAGCCTTTCAACGCTGGCAGCTGCGTCGCAGGGGGCTCCCAGCCACCGCGCCAGGCGCGTGAACTCCGCGGCCGTGAAGTTCTCCAGCGCGAGGCTGTAGACCGGAAGCCCTCGGTTTAGCGTGTAGGGTTTAGGGTTTAGGGTTTAGGGTTTAGGGTTTAGGGTTTAGGGTTTAGGGTTTAGGGTTTAGGGTTTAGGGTTTAGGGCTTGGGGCTGAGGGGTTCGGGGGTTTCGGGGCTTTCGGGGTTTGGGGGTTTCAGGGTTTTAGGGTGTTTAGGGTGGCTTCAAGGGTTTAGGGTCTTGGGGCTTCAGGGGTTTGGGGGTTTAGGGTGCTTTTTTAGGCATACTCATCCCTACACCCTAAACCAGGCCCCTAAACCCTAAACCCTGAACCCTACACACTCCAAACCCTAAACCCTAAACCCTAAACCCTAAAGAGCCTCCAAAAGATGGGGGGGGGGGGGGGCGGGCGCCTGATTGGGCCACCAAAGCCGAGGTCGCCTCCATTCGGGCAAGGAGGTCCTGGACGGTTTAGGGTTTAGGGTTTAGGGTGTAGGGTTTAGGGCTTAGGGTTTAGGGCTTAGGGTTCAGAGTTCAGGGTTTACGGTTTAGGGTTTAGGGGCTTAAAGTTTAGGGTTTAGGGCTTGCTGGCTGATAAGAGTCGCTTACTCGCCTGGTCGCAGGCCATTGCGCCGCTGCACCCCGTGCTTCCCTGGCCGTTACCTGAAGCCCACCTGCGCACGCGCATGGCGCATCTTCTCCCCCCCTCCCCCACAAGTTCCCCGGTGCCCCGAAGGGGGGGGCGGGGGGGGGATCTCCTGCTGGATCTTGCTGTTGCGCATTGCAGACAGAATGGCCCCAAACATGGGCACCTCGATCCATTCGCCCAAGTGGCTACAAGGAAACCCCCACGACCCCCCCGAATGCCCCCTGGGACGGCCCGGTACGGCTGGGGCCGACCAGGCTTGGGCACGCAAGCGCTGACAAATATTGCTGCTCACGTTTATGCCTTTGCTCTTGGTGCTGGCTCATCGGTGCTGCTGTTGCTGCTGTTGCGCTCTGGTTGCTATTCTCGTTGCTATTCTCGTTGCTATTCTTGTTGCTCTTCTTGTTGCTCTTCTTGTTGCTACCCTTGCTGCTATTCTTGTTGCCATTCTTGTTGCTATTGTTGTTCTATGTGTTCTTGCTGTTATGCTTGTGGAACTTGTTGTTGCTGCTGCCGCTACCAGTAGAACTGTTACAAGGTCCGCGTGGCCCTACCCCGGGGGGCCTCCTTTGTCTTCTTGCTCCTCTTGAAGAAGGCGGAGTGGGTCTGGGCCTCCTTGGCTGAGGTTTAGGGTTTAGCGTGTCAAGCTTTGTGGCTTAAGTTTAGGCTTCAGGTTTTTGGGTTTAGTGTTGAGGGTCTCGGGCTCGAGGTTTAGGGATTAGGGTGTCACATTGCTTAGGGCTTAGGGCTTAGGGCTTAGCCCTAAACCCTAAACCCTAAACCCTAAACCCCTAAACCCTAAACCCTAAACCCTAGGGTTTAGGGTTTCGGTTTGTTGCGTCCAGGGATTCCGCGCTTTTGGCGTTGGGGGCTCCGGGCCTCGCGTGGGGGACGCAGGAGCGCTCAGGCCCCTGCAAACCCAATGCGCCTTAAACTTTGGGATGTTCCCCCTTATACTAACTACTCCTTACATAGGGATTATAGTAGGGGGAGGTACGATCATCCCCTATTAAGGAACTGCTAGCATAAGGCGGAACGTCCCAACTTAAACTGCTGAAGAGTTCTCAAGGTACTTGAACTACTTAACCCTTGACCCTATTATTTATGTCTGATTGCAATATGCAATCATTTTCCAGTACACGGATGTGTTGAAACATCATGTTTACATCTAAACACATCTACATCTGATAGTGGCCTTCACCCTAACCCCTAAACCCTAAACCCTAACCCCGAAACCCTAAAAATTGCGGCACAGTTTCCAGGTCCAGCCGAAAACTGAAGATCAGCCGGCTGCAAGGGCAGGACCTGTGGCATTTGGGGTTTGCGCGTACCCGAAAGTCAAAGAAGAATCACTTAACATAAACTCATAACAACTGCTTGCTCAGAAAACGGGTTGAGAAAAAATCACAAAAGAACCCGCAAACTCTCAAACCAAACCGTAAAACCTTCAACCACAACTTATTGCCTAAACCCTAAACCCTAAACCCTAAACCCTAAACCCTAAACCCTGGGCCTGCGGATGAACTGAAAGATCGTCGAATTCCAGCGCAGCTCCTTGAAGCCCCGCACCTGCAAGGTAAGTGATCCAAAAAACCGTTGGGATCACAGAATGAGTTTAGAGGGTTTAGGGTTTAGGGTTTAGGGTTTAGGGTTTAGGGTTTAGGGTTTAGGGTTTAGGGTTTAGGGTTTAGGGTTTAGGGTTTTTCGTTCAGGGTTTAGGGTTTGGGGTTTAGGGTTTAGATTTGATTTTCCGGGATCAACAACAAAGAGTTCGGGATCAACTCAGAATTCAGTTTGGAGGATGGTATGTGCATCTTTTTGACCTGCAGGACGTTGCTGTGTCTATTTCTTTGGCTAAATTTCCATCGTTTTGGTTCATGCATTCAAAGTTTGATGTTGTTATTTGTTGATTTGCTGCGTTCTGTCCGTCGCTATTTCATTATTTGGGGTTTAGGGTTTAGGCTGGAGGGTGAAGGGTCTACGGGGCTAATCTAGACCCTACGCTGAAAGGAAGATCCCAAAAACCCTCTTCGGGTAGTTACATGGAATATGGGGCCCTTTTTACACGGGGTATATACCCCTTATATCCCCAATACAACCCAAGGGCCCATACATCAGAACCCTTCTATAGCGTGTCAGAGACCACATCAAGGGACCATACTACCCTTGGAAACCCAAAACCAAGCAGGGGTTTCGGGTTTGGGGTTTAGGGTTTAGGGTTTAGGGTTTAGGGTTTAGGGTTTAGGGTTTAGGGTTTAGGGTTTGGGGTTTGGGGTTTGGGGTTTAGGGTCCCACCTCCACCCTCTTCCAGTCGCTCTGGAAGCTGGGTGGAGCCAGCCACTCCCACACCTGCTTTCGCGGGATTTAGGGTTTAGGGTTTAGGCTTTAGGCTGTAGTAGGTATTAGGGTTTAGGGTTTAGGTTTTAGGGTTTAGGATTTAGGGTTTAGGATGGGTGGTAGCCAAAATGCTGGTAAACCCAAAGCACCTGAACCCTCTCACCCACTCGCTTGCAAGAAAAGGATCCATGACTCAAATCATGGAAAGGCTAGACCCTCTCCCTCTGCCCCTCCCCCCCCAACCAAAAACAAAACATGATCTTTGCCCCAAGCCCTAAACCCCAAGCCCCAAACCCCAAACCCTAAACCCAAACCCCGCCCTAAACCCCAAATCCTAAAACCTAACCCCCAAGTCCTAAACCCCAAACCCTGAACCCCAAACCCTGAACCCCAAACCCTGAACCCCAAATCCTGAACCCCACACCCTAAGCCCCAAACCCTGAACCCCCAAACCCTGAACCCCCAAACCCTGAACCCCAAATCCTAAACCCCAAACCCCAAACCCTAAACCCTAAAATACCCTAAACCCTAAGCGTTTATAAACACTAAACCCTGAACCCTAAGGCACCACATCCCGCGCGTTGCGGAGCAGCTTGGAGCAGCGGAGAGGCGTCTCCAAGGGAGCGCTGCCGGGGCAGGTCTGGTTGGCCGCCTCCAAGAACCTTCATAGGTAGGGTTTAGGGTTTCGGGTTTCGGGTTTAGGGTTTAGGGTTTCGGGTTTAGGGTTTAGGGTTTCGGGTTTAGGGTTTAGGGTTTAGGGTTTAGGGATTCGGGTTTCGGGTTTCGGGTTTCGGGTTTAAGGTTCAGGGTTTAGGGTTTCGGGTGCAGGGTTTAGGGTTTAGGGTTTAGGGCCTAGGGGTTCGGGTTTGGGGGGGGGGGGAACATGGGCCCTTTGGAAGGGCTGCGAGGGGTTGGGTTTTGGGTTTTGGGTTTTGGGTGTTGGCTTTTGGGCTTTTGAGTTTTGGGGTTGAGGCTTAGAATTTCGCTCAATACAACGGAGAACAAAGACTTTGGGCGTGGGGCTTGTAGGGCTGATGGGGGATAGAGGATGTTGAGGAAATCAGGTTTCTGCTGCTTGTGGGGGGTCGTTTTTTCGGGTTCACTGGCTTAAGGCTTTCTAGTGCTTTCGGTACTTCGGCGTTTCTCCTGGGCTTGCGGTCTGGGGCTGAAGCTGTCAGGGGGTCGAACCTATCCTAAACCGTAACCCTGAGCGCTGCCTCTGCTGCATGAGCGCGAGGCCACCCAGTGCCCCATGGTTCTCCCCCCAGAGGAAGAAGCCGGGAACCTCGAACTTTCGAACTGAACAGCTGAACAGGCCTGTGAGGCCTAGGCTGGGCCCAGCAGAAACACCCAAAAAAAAAACCGAAGCGCTCAAAAACCCTAATCACCACACTGTGACACGAGTGTGACACTCGATGTGTGCATGCGAGGCACCAGCACAAAGTGCAGTGGCTGTGAGCTCACGATGCGAAATCTTGATTGCTTTGCTGCGTCACAGCAAAACCCGAAGCCTGAAGGCTATTTGGGGGGTTTAGGGAGTTTAGGGGGTTTAGGAGGGCTTAGCGGGGTTTAGGGGGGTTTTGGTGGGGTTGCAGGTTTCCGGTCTGACTTCCGCGTAGCTCGAGGGGCCTGGTTCACCATGTTCAGCAGCGTGGACGACCCCGACCTGCCCGTCGCCACGATGAAGAGAAACTTGCGGTCGCACCTCGGCTCTCTGCGAATGGTTAGATAGGGTTTAGGGTTTAGGGTTTAGGGTTTGGGGTTTGGGGTTTGGGGTTTGGGGTTTGGGGTTTGGGGTTTGGGGTTTGGGGTTTGGGGTTTGGGGTTTAGGGTTTAGGGTTTAGGGTTTAGGGTTTAGGGTTTGCTGAAATAGTGGCGTAGATGCTGTGAAGGTTAGGATGTAGCAGAGGCTCGAAAGCCTCGTCACCTGCGAAGAGCAACTCTGGCCCTTGGACGGCCATCTAACACACGCCGTCCAAGGCGACTAACCTACTCCTTTCAGACCAAGTGCTTACCTTCAATAAAAGGTCTTCCGTCACCAATGGCGTTGAGGCCAGCGCATTTGCGTCCAGGGTTCCAGAAGAGCTCGGAAGGGATCCCAAACAAGCGCAAGGGAAGGTCAGAGGCTTTCACAGGTTGCAGGGGGGTGTCGGGGGTCCGACGAGGTCCCAGGGGCGTTTCAGGAGGCCTGGCGTGTGCTTGGTGTGTGCCGCGGCACCCAAAAATGACTGTAGGGCGGGCGGCCTAGTCCTTGAGTTTAGGGTTTAGGGTTTAGGGTTTAGGGTTTACGGTTTAGGGTTTAGGGTTTAGGGTTTAAGGTTTTCAGGTCCAGGGTTCAGGAAACCTCAAGCCACAAAACACCCTGTAAGCCAGCAACTCCAAAGCCCCAAAACCTAAGCCCTAAACCCTACACCCTAAACCCTGAATCCCTAAACCGTAAACCCTAAACCCTAATCCCTAAACCCTAAACCCTGAACCCCCCCGCACACGTGAAACCCATACACTCCAATCCAAGACGCAGCTCGCCAGAGCAATCTGGGCACCACCATGAGCCATCTTTGGGCTGCCTGTGTCTTGGGGGTTTAGGGTTTAGGGTTTAGGGTTTTTCAGGGTTTAGGGTTTAGGGTTTAGGGCTGAGGGTTTAGGGTTTGGGGCTCATAAGTCATAAGGCTTAGGGCTTAGTGTTTAGGGTGTACAAGCTTTGAGGGCTTTGAACGTGTTCAGGGTGCTTTAATTGGGGGGATTCTTTAGTGGTTTCAGGGGACTTCTATAGGGATGTTCCCCTTTATACTAACAGTCCTCAGTAGGGACATTAATTGGGGGTACTGTAATCCCTATTAGGCAGCTGTTGGTACATTTGGGCTCAAGCATCTTGACAAGGGTCGATCATTGGGTTCCCCTGCTACCCCCCCCTCTCTACTACCCACCCTAAGTGGCTTAGGGGTTAGGGTTTAGGGTTAAGGGTTTAGGGTTCAGGGTTTAGAGTTTAGGGTCTAGCCCCCCCAAAAAAAAAAACTGAACGCAAGGAGGAGCACTGGCCTTACAAGCTTGTTCGTCCCAGCACTCGCCGGTCCAGTCTCCGAAGTGGCTCTCGAGATGGACCGCATGAACAGCAGGAGCACCTCGGAAAAGGCGCGATTTGGCTACAGGGTTGAGGGTTTAGGGTTTAGGGTTTTGGGTTTAGGGTTTAGGGTTTAGGCTTTCGGGCCCATGTAAGCCCCCCCTGAACCCCCGTCTCAGGAAGGCCCGAAGACTGGGGGGTGCCTCCGCGATTTTGAGCCCGTGCCCTCCAAAGAGAAGAAATACAAAAAGGAAGCCACTGCACCCCCACCACCCCTGAAGATCTCAAAAACCCTAAACCCTGAGCCTAAGTCCCTAAAGCTCTCAACCCTGCGCCGTAAACATCCCTCGGCTTTCAGAGGCATCGACCCTCCCTACACTTTAGGATGTAGGGTCCCTGAGGGATTAAGGTATCTGGGGAGGAGAGGGGGAATCCTTCTGAAGGCGATGCCCTACTTTCGGAAATGCACAATTGGGGTTTGGGGTTTGGGGTTTGGGAAGGTTTTAGTGCACGGTGGACACACGAACAACTCCTGCATTCCTGACCCTTGTTTAGGCAGATATAGAATTGGCTTTGAAGCATCGCCTTTACCGCACCCTGCATACTAATATATCCTTCCGGTGCAGCACCTGCATGAGGGCGAGACTTCCCAGGCAGATGTACAGCCGCACACGCATTGCGCATCCATCCAGACAACGGAGCGCAATCCGCGGTCTGGTGTCCACAGGGCCCCTAAACTGGCAGATGCCTCACACACAACACGCACACAGGCTTGAGGTGAGAAGTCGGAGTGGAGGAATGACGGTGCTTGCGGAGATTTTTTAAAGCTTGGGGCTGGAGCGTCTTGACACGGAATCTGCAGCCAGGAGGTTAGAAAAATCCAGCATGCTTTGAGGCATCAACGGCTGCAGATCTCAGGAAGAGGACACGCGCATAAGGAGCCTGGCAGCTTCCAAAAGTTGCAGGGTTGAGGATTGGGGGATCTAAGCTTGATTGCCTTTGAGGGTACAGATGGGTACAGGGATTCCCGAAGGAACGCACCACCAGAGAACCTGTTTTGCGGAGGTCGGAGCTCATTCACCTGCTGTAGAAGCCCCCGGAGAACGGGGCCCAAGGGAGGAGCTTTAAGACGGTTTGGGGGGGGGGGGGGGGCAGCTTTCGGGGGGATTTGGAAGCTCTTCTCCGAGGTAGCTACCGCTTCTTTTTGGACGAAAATGTTTAGGGTGTAGGGTTTAAGGTTTAGGGTTTAGGGTTTAAGGTTTAGGGTTTAGGGTTTAGGGCTTTGTTTTAACAACCCTGTGCACCTTTTCTAGAGTTTAGGGTTTAGGGTTAGGGTTTAAGGTTTAGGGTTTCGATCTCGGCACGCTCGTAGCATCCTCGTCTGGCTACGGTTTGACACATCACAAACGCCAAATGCCAGAGATGTAGGAAAAAAGAGGGAGCAACAAGAATCAAGGCAGGAAGCTGAAAACCCCAACAGCGCAACTCTGAATTCCATCACGGCCTCAAAAATCAACAGCATCAACAAACATGAGAACTCTCAAAAAGGCGGCGTCCAGAGCTGAAAACCCTAAACCCTAAACCCTAAACTAGGCCCTAAACTCTAAACCCTAAACCCCAACAGAAATATCCGAGGTAGAGCGCTCGACTCAAAAGTTGGGTCAAGTTCTCCTTGCCCACGCCCCTCGGACTCCCAAAAAGACAGGGTTTCGGGTTTAGGGCTTTGGGGTTCAGGGCCTTAGGGGGGTTTTCAGGCCTGCCTCAGGGGATACTGAGCATCCCACCCCATCTCCGAAAACAGCTGGTGGCAGTTCCAGCTCCAATGGTTCGGAAGAAGACTCCAGCCAGCACTTGAGGCACAGATGAAACCCACAAACACGAAGCTCGCGCAACGAAGCACATCATCAGGTCTGCAGTGCTGGCTGATAAACAAGCCAAGGAACAACAATCGAGCATTTGAGCTGCTCTTTTTCATGGCCCCGAAACGTCTTTTTCTTAACCCTGCCGTCTTTTGTTATTTGAAAGCGAGCGTCGGGGCCGAAAAAAACTTCTGTCTTTTTTCAACCACAGCACGGGGCCAAAAAAAAACACAGGCTCACTCAGGGTTTCTTTTTTCTTGGGCCCAGAATGTCCTTTTCTGGATTCCGTCAGATTCTGCCAAAAAATCTCCTTTTTGGCCCCGATCTTTGTTCCAGTCCCGTTCTGAGGTTGAAAAAAGACTTTACTATTTTTCAACCCTATTTGAATTGAAAGTTTTTTCAAACTTGAAAATGTGTTTTCTTTGCCACCCTTTTTCAGACCAATTGTCTCTTTTGTGACCCGACAAAACAGAAGCACTTCAAGGAAAAAAGAAAGATCAACAGGTTTTCACGTTTTTGGAACATGAAAAAATGATGGAGAACTTGTGTCGTGACATTTTGAATGGAAAACGAAGAGGACTTGGAGCCAGCTGCGGCGTAAAATTTTCTTTTCACATTGAAGAAGAGAGGCAGCCAGGGTTCGTCCGGGCTCGAAGCCTTGCGGGGACCCCGTAATTCTGGTGGTGTTTTGGCGGGCAGCGCCTGGATAGGGATTGTTTGGGCGGATGGATGGGTTACACTTTATTGAGTATTATAAAGCCCCGAGTCCCCAAGGCCCTCAAACTACGGCAAGCTATTGGGAGTTTGGATTTGAGGCCTGTTTGAGGCCTGGCCTGTTTGAGGCCTCAAGCCAGCCTCAAATGACGGCAAGCTATTGGGGGTTTGGATCTGAGGCCATGTTGAAGCCTGGCCTCAAACTGGCCTCAAGCCAGCCTCGAATGACGGCAAGCTAATGGGGGTTTAGATTTGAGGCCAGTTTGAGGCCTGGCCTCAAATTGGCCTTAAAGCCAGCCTCAAAATGATGGCAAGCATGGGGGTTTAGATTTGAAGCCAGTTTGAGGCCTGGCTTCAAACTGGCTTCAAATGGGCGCCAAAAGGGCTTCAAATGATGGCAAGCTATGAGTTTGTGCTTGAGGCCTGTTTGAGGCCTGGCTTCAAACCAGCCTCAAGCAAGCGTTAAACGATGGCACGGTTTGGATTTGAGGCCCGTTTAAGGGCTGTTTGAGGCCTGGCCTCAAATTGGCCTCAAACACGACCAGCTATTGTGGCTTTGTGTTTGAGGCCTTTTTGAGGCGTCCATTTTTCGGGGTGCATTTTTGGCCCCTCAAAGATCTTACCAAAACCCATTTTCAGCCGATTTATCAAACCTTCCAGAGAGTCACAATCACTTGCACATGAGCAGTCACTCTATCCATCAGCAAGTCAAGAAAATGCTGTTTCCAGCAAACGGAAGCTGCTTCCAAGTGACCATGCCTTGATCATATACAAAAAGTGGCTCTCTTTTGTTGGTCGTCCAGCAATTTGTTCTGCACCGGGGAGGCCCTTTCAAGCGACGCCAGTTCAAACACTTTTTGGAGCTCCCCCCAAAAAACCCCCCCAAAACACCAGTTTCAAACCTCTAATGGCAGTAAAGGTGCCGGAAGCTTCCTTGCTTCCTTCGCATTTCTCGCTGTAAAAAATTGACTTCGACCCCACCAACACCACAAACACACACACACACATTCGACTTGCCAAGACTTGCTGTGAAGGTCACACAAGCTTCTCTACTTTTGTTTGATTTTGCTGCCTCTTTCCAAACACATACACACACACACACACACAGACACACCCAGAACTTTTTCAGGCTTGAAGCGGAAATGGTTTTTGATTTGAAATAATTTGATGTCACCATTTTCACTTGAGCTGCAGGTGACAACGGCAGGTGACTCAAGCAAGCTTTTCTCGCTTCTGCACCCCACCCACCCACCTCCCCACACAACATCGACTCCTTCACGAAGCACTTGGCACAAAAGTGGTTTTTCCATTTACAGAAGCAAGCCGGACACTCTTTTGGTTCAATTCAAATGCGAAGTTGAGATGTCAATCCAAAAAACTTGACCAAAAGGTGTCTCGACACCAAATAGTGTCGCAGCACCACTTTAAGTCCACATTGAGCATGAAGGTGTCTCAACATGAACCGAAAAATTTTAAACCAAAAGAATGTCTCAAGACCACAACTGACAAAAACCAAAAAACTTTACCACTTGGAAAAACCGTCTCAGGCACTTTGACAGACTTTCCAAACCAAAGATGTCTCAACACCAATCTCTTCAGGATTTGTCACGCGGAATTTGCAGATGTTTTCAAGCTGTAACCTTGAAATTTCTCAAAAAGTGAAGATACAAAAAACCTGACAACAAACAAAAAGTGTCCAAAAACCCATCAAAACTGCTGCGCCTGCGCTACTGCGTTAAACCAGTTAATTTAACCGACCGGGTAACGACATCTTCAGTTGGAATCGCGAATTTGAGCACAGTCCACTGGACCAATCCTACGCTGCTTCCTGAATTACTTTGAAGAACTGCAAAGCAAAAAACCGACACTTTTTTGAAATGTCCAGCGCAGTCCCCCTCGGTTTTGCGGTGCGCTTGCGTCAAGATTTGAGGCGCTTGTTGGAATTCACAGCCGACGTTGCGAGTTTGTTACTGGCAAATGAGACCCTCAAAAATACCAGCCTGCAGAAGCAGAGCCCTACAAGCTATCACGCCATGCATGGGTGCACCTGCAGGTTTCTTAAGAAGAGCGAAACCCACGTGGAAACGCTGCACTGTCCCGTCGAAGTGCTCTCTCTGGAGGGTGTTTCTAGCTCATGCTCACCCACAGCTTCCACCATTGCTCACGTTAACAACATTTTGAGCACCTAGCAGGCCTTTCAAGCGCTCCGACAGAACTTTGGTGATATCGGACGGGTTGCACAGGCCTGACTGGCCGGCCCTGACAATGGTGCGCCGTGGCGTTGTCCAAACGCACCATGGCCTGGATCAGGAGTATTGCAGACACCGCAGCATACGCCATTCTGATTCACAAGACGACAAACTTGTTTTTTTGAATTAGCAAGGACCTGAATACGCCTTGTAACATTCACACGAGTTTGACTAAGAAGATAGTCTCACGAAGAGTTTCAACGAGATGAGGACTCAGAATCACTGCAAGACGCCCTAAAGCCTTTGACCTGTTCCGAGGCGGGGTTAAGAGGCATGGTGAGTTCGTTGCAGAACGAAGTTGACATCGAAGGCGTAAAAGACCGAAACGCAGCAAGCAACCCTCAGCCCTACAAGACTAGCCCTACAAGACTTACACCAAGCCCTGCACTTTTGCATGCTCGCACATTCCGGTCTTGAGCCAACGTACCAAGAACGTGAAACGCCTTCAAACACTTGCAAGACTTCCTACCAAAACACTTCCAAACAAGGAAAAACAGGTCCAAACACCTCCAAGGCATTTACGTGAGCCATCTATCTGGAAACCCCTATAGCAAGTCAAGACATTCATCTGGTTTGATGTGTTTACTCGTTTTGCTGTATTTGAAGTTGCCCTGCCAGTCGGTCATTTTTTCGTTTCCTTCATATTTCTTTAATTTTTCAAGCTTGTCAAAGGAAAAAGATAGGAAACTGAAACTATCTTTGAACTGTAACTGTTTAAGTTCAAAAGTTATGAATGTTTCCACTGTTCTGTGCTATGACGCTTGGTTGGTCTTTCTTTGTGTTGAGCTTTTCTAAGTTGATATAGTGAGGTGAGCATCGTAGTTTTTAAGGTTGTGAAACACACGAAGGTTTTAA